TCTAAGCACACTTAAAAACCAAGACTTCCAATGGAATCTAAACAAAAGTGGTCAGAAGACATGTTTTTTTATTATTATTATTATTGTTATTTTATTTTACATACGAGACAACCATGTTAAACCATGGAAAAAGTAATGCATCTCAGGTGACAGCTTGCAATCGGATCAATGAAAAAACAAGCTTATATCAGGAGTAATTTTGTGCAATTTACAGTGTAAAAGAAAAATAAATGTAGCATAGTTATTTGTTTCACATTTCCTGCAGTAACTCCAATCAAGTAGCAAAAACTACATATCTCCAACATTTCCTTTGGAAAATCATGCATCATTAAACAAATGTCCACATAGCAAGTCATCAACATTACCGTATTCTTGAGCCGCATCATCTTCACTGGCAACTCTTCTTGTATCAAGAATGAGTTTGATATTCACAATCACTGTGATCAGTAGAAACAGCACAGCACTAGCCTGCAAACACACAAACAGATGTTTACCTAACCACCTAAACAGGGCCATTTAATACTTTTACTGTTTTTCTATCCTGCTGATTAAACAATATAAATTAAACATAAAACATGCAATATTCAATCACAGTATGTTTACACTTTATATATTATTTGCTTATTTATTTTATAAAAATTATATTCTTAAAAGATGATTGTCGAATTTAGCTCATTCTGTGCCGATTTTAATATAACATATCTCCACAATATATTAAAGTAATAAAGTGAAAATAAATATAAATAAAAGTACAGAAATGCACATTACGGACATAAACAAAATTCTATATAGTGAATTTTTTCTTTCCTAAAGAAATTTTTGCAAAATAATAGTGCTCTAAAAAGCTGTGAATTTTAATGTATGAAAATTGAGTTTGTTCTAGTTTTTTTTTTATGTTAAAACAAATGCCACTACACCAAAAAAACACCTCACTTTAATTCGCCAAATTCCTTTTTTTTATCAGCGGTCACCACAGTGAAACAATTTACTTATTTACTTTAAAAAAATATATATTTTTACACTCTGAATCACAGATTTTTTAAAATATATTTGCACATTCTAACTTTCTCTTAAATAATATAATTTTTAAAAAGTATTATTGGCCAATTCTAAATTAGGAAATCATATTAGCAGCCAATGATTATCAAAGTACAACAATGTTTACAATAAATTAGCTAATGATTTTTTAAAGTCATTTTAACTTGAGATTCCAGACCATATTCCATATTCAAAGTAGCGTGGTAAACAATATATCCTCCCGAGACCCAAATATTTTTTTTTATTTTTTTCATCCTTTCGGTTAAAAAAAATAATAAAAATTCTACAATTTAGAGTTTTTACATTTTGTTTTTATTTTTAATTTTACAGCATGTCCACTGTAGTGGACCACAGGACCATTTTAGTTCAAAACGACCGCAACTCAGACAACAAAACTGTACAGGATATGGCTGTAAAGGGATAATAATCCAATATTCATGTAACAAAAGCCATTTTTTCATTTTGTATTGAAATTCCTGAAACAGTTTAGTCTGAAAGAGGTATGTTATTCCAAAACATATTTAACATAAAAGTGATTTAAAACTGCAATTGTCATTCTCTAATTGCCTCTAATACTTTTAAATCAGTGTCTCCCTCAACTATTCTATAAAGAATCCTCTCTGCTTCAATTCTGCCCCCTACAACATGTAGACATTAATTACATTAAGATGGTCCTGGTGTCCACTATAGTGGACATTTAAAAAAGGATATTTTAAAACACAAGTTAACAGCTTTGAAAGCTAAATGTATTGTTCCTGACACTTTAATAAACAAATATATATGTGATAATAATAGTAAAAAAAACATTTAAAAAGCTACATTTTACGTACCTCTCTCCTTTCCATAAAATGTGCTTGTTTATTAGGGGTGTCAAAATTAATTGTTTCTTCGGTGCACCGCGATGCAGACGCGGACAATTCGGTATCGATTCAGTAATAACCATAACCGGTTATTATGTAGTGACATCATTTATCTCCTATGCGCTCTGTCGCGAGGGAGGTGAGCGCCGTTATTTATTTACAACACTCAGCCAACTCAGGGCCGGCCCGTGGCGTAGGCAGCATAGGCAAATGCTTAGGGCGCTGTATATCCAGTGGGGCGCCAGAAATGAGCGCGCTTCAGTTGGTTTTGTTTTCGATTTTTCTGACACACTTTCAGTTATAGACGGCAATAACTCAAAAAACGCTTACCCTAAAAATATCTAAAGTGTGTTTCCTACAGAAAGACAAAGCTGGTTATGTTTCACAGCTGTCTTTCTTTTTTCGCTCGACATTACGAGCACTGCTCCGTTTTTGTGTGTGTGTGTGTTTGTTTGATGCTGTCTATGTTTGTGAATGTGTTTGAATGAGAGACAGTGTGTTGCTGTGTGTCTGTGTGTTTATACAGACAGCATGTTATAGCCTCCCCCCAAATATATAACACTGTATATGGAAAGCATCGTCAATGCACCGAAATATCGAATTGAACCGAATCGATGGCATGATAATTGTAACCGAACCAAACCGTGAGACCAGTATAGGTTCACACCTCTATTGTTTATATGTCGGCCATTGTTGGTGCAGTGTAAAAAGTGGTTCCTAACATGCCAGGCAATCAAATGACATATCACTAGAAAGCCCAGGAAGTCCTCTGAACAGTATAACAGAACTTGACAGAGTAGCTCAAAAAATTCTAAGAAAACTAATGAAAACGCAATGTCCACTAAAGAGGACACAAGTCAATGGGCGGGGTCTCAGAAGGATAGGGACTGTGTCACAAGTTGTCACTGTTTAAAAATGAACGAATGTGCCAATATAAAACCAACTTTACCTCAGTGATTTTTAGTATGGACTGACCAAATGATAAATTACCAAACTTTTCATTTTGCAAAATAACTATAAACACTGTTAGCCATTGTGACACAGATCAACAGTTTGTAATTTGTAATTAATAACACTTATATACATATAAAATATTCTATTGGCAAATGTCCTGATGTTCAACTTAATTCATGTACTTTTGGGGATTTCAAAAAAAAAGTTGTTAGACGAAGGCTTTATGAGGATAGAAAACAAAAGCCTCAATGTATTTGTTCAGGGATGGGTATAATCGTGCTTTTACCTGGCAGATTCTTCGCACTGCTCTTTTGTTGGTAAGTCTGTATTTCCAAGTAAGGTAGAGGCTGCGCTGCTGGCGGGGGATGAAGGGCTTGGCTCTCGGGTTTGGTGTCCAGGTGTCCATACCTGCAGTCCTGCCCGCTGCTCCTGATCACAACACCTGCCTGCATCCGCCTTTGATCACGTCTTCTTCATCTGAAAAATATAAATCATTATCACGATTACAAATAAAAGGCATAAACACTGCTCAAATCTTCTGACAGTAATGGAAGAGTCACAACTTTAATGTAGGTTATCTAAAATGCTCAACAACCAGGTCCAAAAGACATGCTAAACTGCAGCGTAGCACCGTAGTAACATGATATTAATATGCCATTATTAACAGTGACTCCTGAAAGCAGATGGTGAGGTAACGTAAGCTCTATTCAGCACAACAGCTGAAATTCTTTCAGAAAGCAATTTCTGTTGACACCGATAATGCATTGACTATATCACTGCACATAATGAATGAGACATTTTACCTCAGAACTGTTTTGTTTCGCACGGAAACGACGTCCCGCCACGCCAGAAAATACGACTGTAATTTAGTTTATGTCGGGTTTACTAACGTTTGGCCATATGCAGGTAACGAGTGTTGTGAAGCCAGATTCAGGACGCCACTTGCATGCTTTTCAAAATAAAGGTCCCACATTTTTCTTAAAAGTCACTATTTCTTGTGTGTTATAAACAAATGCAACATTGTCAAAAACGAAGTTATAAATATAGAACCAAATCATGCTTAAAATTACTATACAATTATATTTACAATATAATATATATATACATATATACATATGCATATATATATATATATATATATATATATATATATATGACAATTAGTTAAGTGATATTTGGCTTAAATAGCTCTAAAGAGCTCACATTAAAAATGGCGCCTATGCTTATGTTTTTAAGATTAAAATGTAAAACAGAGATTTTTATATAAATACCATTAAGAAGAGTGCAAAAAAAGCTGTACAAACGGTGCATTTCTTTACATGTTTAAGTATTGTGAGCTAGTAAGGCCTTATTTGTAATATATATTTTTAATTTGATATTATTTTGTTTTACTACATATTGAGTAGTTGTACATGTAAAAAATGTAAAAGCACATATGCACTTTTTAATAATAAAACATAAAAACTAAACTTGATATCAGATAAAAAATGCTGAACAAATCGTTTTTTTTAAACCCGTCACAAGGGTTGTTTTAAAGTAGTTTTTTGTCATCATTGCTTATTAATACAATTTTGGAAAACAAAACAAAATCAATTTGCGCTAATTTTCTGTCTTGTATTTTGTAGTAGCTAACAAAAACAAATAAAATCTAAAACAATTGATCGATATGTAAACATTTAGCTAAAATTTGCTTTAAAATGCTACAGTAAACGATTAGTTATTTTCAGACTTAGTGAACATTGGTAATTGTTAATGTTGACTGAAAATAGAAATTCAAGACTTTAATATAAAAATTTTAAAGTTGGAGTCAAATTTGGACTAACTGAAAATTAACAGTTCAAGTAATATTTTGAAGAAAGAAAATAGTGGAACTACTGTACATATAGTTTGTTTATACATATATATATCAACTGCTGTATTATTATTATTATTATTATTATTATTATTATTATTATTATTATTATTATTATTATTATTATCCTCATTACTATACACTTATCCACATTTTACTGGTAAAGGAAAAAATGGTTATTTCCCAGTTTACAAACAGCGTGTGAACATATTTATCAGATCATCTCTTGCAAGAGGAAAAGGCGGGGTGAATAAATGACTTTAAGTGGTTTGTTGATTGTTGCACTGTCATTATGTCTCTAGCCTACTATTTCTCCCTAAAAAGACCAGTGCTAAAAGAAAACATGAGATTTCTGACAGCTGTGTGTTACTTTGGTGAGTTTTGTTTATTTATTTGCTTGCTTGCTTACTTTTGTAACATTAAACAATTGTCTGTTCAATAAAATAAAAACCTAACAAATGCTTATTCTATTTTTTAAGCCTGGATTAAGCCTAATGGACAAACTCAATAATATCAGCCCTTTTTTATGCTATAACTCAGGGTATCATAGTTCCTGAAGGCTGCAGCTCTGCATAGTTTAGTTCACTGCTTCGACACACTTATGCTGAGTTTAGATTGCTGGATTTTCAACGTCGTGTCACAGATGTTTTCACACTGCATGGTTGTCTGGGATAGCATTTTGTCCCTGATTTGTTTACACTGCAAGACTAGGTTTAAATGAACCGAAATTCAGCACTTTTAACCTTTCCCCCAATCTCCCACTGGCCTGCAGATACCCATACTAGTGAATGCTGCTCTCTCATTGGCTGTATTGCCATCATGGCATGATTTGAATCGCAGATCCTGATATTTAGCATGCCAAATATCTCACGGGTGCCGGCGACTCATCGCCTATTTTCTCAGATACATAATGTGTAATTGTTACTCATGTGAATGAGCATCGATTTGACTGTGATTTTAGGCGATTTCACAACACCTGTCGGTGAGTCAAAATCAAGGCTTAAATCATGCAGTCTAAACTTGACTTTACCAATAGGTTTCAAACAAGCTCGTAGAACTATAAATTAGTTTGATCAGGTGTATTTAATTAGGCTTAAAGCTGAACTGTGCAGAGCTGCGGCTCTCCAGGAACTGAGTTTAACACCTGTGCTATAACTGATGTGTGGATGGCTTTAAATTGATCAAAATATATCAGACAATAAATAATGGTTGCTGATAATTCTGTGCAGTCTGAACACTTACAGGAATGGATTTCATTTAAGTCTAATCATACTTATAAATATTTTTTTATGAAAATTATGATTCATTTTTTGTAGATAAACTTTTTTATGTAGAAATAAACTTACATTTTGGGGGGAAAATGTAATTACATTTTACAGTTCTTTTATGCTGATCTTTTTTATTTGCATTTTTATTTCTCACAGTTGAAAACCTTCTCGCAGCTTTTTTTTGAAATTCAGAATTTTTCTTCAAAATTGTGATGCTATATTTGTCATATTTCAGGTTTATAGTATTGCAGGTTTATAGTCTGACTAACTAATTGAGTTAAAACATATTCTGTTTATAATATAATCTGTTCATAAACTAACAGTTTTGAAATAAAGTTGTGATATAATCTTGCAATTGTGAGATTAAAATGTTTTATTAAATAGATGATTTTAATACTTTTAAAAATGTATTTTCAATCATTCATTTTACTTCGGCTTACTACCTAAATTATCAGGGGTCACCACAGCGACATGAACCGCCTACTTAATTGTTTCAAACAATTAGGATTGTCTTTCTTCTGTTAAACACAAAAGTAGATACTTCAAAGAAAGTTGAAAACCTGTAACCATTGACTTCCATAGTATCTGTTTTCCTACTATGGATGATGGATGCCAATGGTTACAGGTTTTCTGCTTTTTTTAAAATATTGTCTTTTGTGTTGAACAGAAGAAAGAAACTCACAAAGGTTTGGAACAAGAGAGAGTAGTGATTAAATTTTCATTTTAATCCCTCTAACTTATATCTTTCCAGTTCTGCTTTCCACCTGGCTGAAACATGGAGCATTAAACGAAATCAGGGAATCTAAATCAAAAAAAGATGCTTCTCTAGAGGTCCGGCCAGACAGCAGACAACATCTCAGAGGGAAAGAGTTCACCCTTCACTGCTCAGTAAATGGTGGGAATTCAACTGGCTGGATACTGAGGAGGCTTCAAGGAGATCAAAAGGACTCTGGATGTTTGTACTTGAATGGTACAAAATCTACAGACAAGCCTGAAGAATGTCATTTCAGTGACATTGACAGTAAGAACAATGGACTGTACTGGTGTGAGAGTCTGTCTGACAACAAGACAAGCAACACTGTCAACATCACCGTGACCCGGAAGGACATCAGTTCCAGTAATAAAGATTGAAATTACAATCCTTTATTTATTTGATTAAAAGATTTGTACAAAATGGAATAACTGTCCATTTTAATGTTAAAATGTTATGATTGATCAACAGCAATTTTATTAAGCAACATCCTAATATGTTATTTTGTGTTTGGTTATAATTACAGTTGAAGAGTTTAGATGCAAAAACTTCTAAATGTTGTCTGAAAATTTTCTCTAAAATTAGCATTTTTTTTCAGGCTCCTGTGTTTATGGTCAGTATATCACTTTTATGGCAAACAAAAAGTTATTTTCCTGGTCTTTAAAGTGAAATATCTCAACATAAACAAAGGAGGCTAGAATTTTATTTAATTTTTTTTTCAATTTTGGACGCCATTTAGAGTTTTTTTTACATCTAAACAATGCTTAACATTGTTTGATATATAACTGTTATTATAATTTTTGAGATATGTGTTGTTTTTCTTTCAGGATTTTTACATATATATTATAAAGTTCACATTAACAATCTTTTTATCACTTTTGTTCCACAAAAAAAAAAAAAAAAACAGAAAGTGAAGTGACCCTTCTGAGCACAGTTAATCCAATGACAAAAGGTAAGCCAAAAAAAAAGGGATGTTGGCAGTCTGCGTGTGTTTTGTAGACACTTTTATATAAGGTGTTGTGCATTATTTCATCTGTTCAGTCATTTTGTGTCTGTAGATAACTCCACGTCTGATTCGGAAGAAGAAAATCAATCAGGTATGAGGTCCCGGTATAATGACTGGGATTGATTTTTGCTTCCTGTGCGGAATCCATCTTTATTAATTGTGTTCTGCAGGATTGTTTGCCTGGGTGTCGGGGCTTTGTATGTTATTGGTTCCTCTGGTGACTGTTCCTGTGCTCTGGATATTCTTTCCAAGTTTCAGGTATACACTTTTTAAATAATTAGTTTAACTTTGGACAAAAGGCTTTTTTAAGGCAAGAAGCTTCAGGTGAAAAAGGTTTTTATTATTATTATTATTATTATTATTATTATAATTACTGTTGTTATTACTATTGTTGTTGTTATTGTTATTTAAGAACTTTCTATATTGCTTTTTAAACATTCAAACACAATGACTTACACAATTTGACCAACAAGCATTTAAAAGATACAGTATACAATCAATTCATAAGAAAGTAAAATAATAACAGATAAATACATGAAGTCGATAATAATAGAAAAAAAATACAACATATTAAATCATGGAATTTAAGTTTTAATCTAAATTAGTTTAATCCTCTTCGATTTCCTATAAAATTTATTTTTAAAATAATCAATGAAAGGTTGCCAGATTTTATAGAATATTTTTTTTTCTTTTTTAGGGATATTTAAATTTTCTCCAATTCCAAATGCTTCATTACATCCCTCATTAGATGTATGGTATATAAGTTAGAGCATCTTTCTGTTTCCAGTTTTAAAAATAATAACATTGGTGCAAGTAGACTGACAAATGAAACTATATTTTGTACTGTACTGTTTTAGCTATACATTTACCTATTATTATGTAAAACAATTATTATTATTATTATTATTATTATTATTATTATTATTATTATTATTCAAATGAGATGTTATTTCATTAAATTGATCTTAATTTTCAGAAATTGCTACTGCAAAAATCTAAACATGTTATTTATTTATTTATTTGAAATATTAAGATTTTTGCAGAAGGGATTTTGCTAACCTCCCTTTTATCGCTTTACAATTGAGAAAAATAATGCAAAATAAAATTAATAATAAATTATTATTTTTTTAAATGTTATAATTTGATTAAAATGCTTTAAGTTTGTTTTGATACAGATTTATTGGTTCTATTGGCCCATTGAAATGATGGGCTTAAAAACTAATTTTGAGAAAACAAAATCAACAGATTCAAATTGATGAATCTTTGAAGTTGAAGTCCAACAAAAACAACACAGTGTATAATGAAGCTTTTCTTTACATCAGACCTAACAACACTTTATGAAAAGACAAAACCCCCAAATCTCAAAACTGACAGGTGAATAAAAATTATTATTAAAATTATTAATTAAAATTAAAATTAATAGGTGAATTAAAATTATTATTATTATTATTATTATTATTATTATTCATTACTACAGCAATGAGGTTAATAGTTCATAATACAAACATTGCAATATCAAAAATCTGAAGTGTTTCTTCATGCTTTTCAGAGAGAAATTGTATGCATGCACAAATGGGGCATATAGAAGGGAAAGGGTCCAACAGGAAATGCCAAAAACCAAGCAGGACGCGACTGAAATCCAATGGGACCTTCCCTGGATGGAGATGGACAATTTGTTGGGCAAGCAACAAAATGCCGGCCGCTGAATCTTTCCTCAAAATAAAGTGGATATTGATGGATACACACTTCAGAAGACAAAAAACAGCTACTCTGCTTTACATCAGCAATAAAGCAGATGAATAAAGATAGTGATGTTTTCACTCTGAACAATGTGTTATCATAAGCTTTAGATCAATGATCAGTGGTCTTAACAGAATCCTTTTCCATCTTAAAGTGCAAAATGGCATTACAGATTTGTTTTTTGATTTGTTAACTAATGCAAAACTGCAGATGATCTTCTGCAAACAATTCCAGGAAAGCAATGAACATACTGTTGCGTTATTATAATTAGTTTATTTTATACAGTATACAGTAGTATAGCAAATATTTATTCATTAAAATAAATAACAACAGAAATTAAACACATTTGGTAATATCAATATCATGTAATAAGATTTAAATATATTACATTTTGCAAAGGAATAAACTGTATATGCTAACATTGTGTCCAATCATTGTGACGACATTTTAACATGTTCATCAGTGTCCTTTCAAAATACAGTTTAGCACACTTGATTTTACCCATCACTATTTGAAATTGTATCATGACTAAATGTATTAAAATTTTTCTAATCTTTTCCTCTTACAAAGTCAATAACTGAATAAATAATAATTGATCTTTCAGATTCAAAGAAAGATTGAACTATAAACAAATGATAGTTTGTTCTTAAACAGGACCTATTATGTAAAAATCACTTTTATATGATAGTTAAACACGGTTGTGTGGGAAAAGTCAGGATATATAGCCAGCCTCTAATAGAAAAAAAAATTTATTAATTCATTATTCATAATCACGCTTGATAAAAATAGTCTGCAGAAACACTTTGATTGACATTTTCCTTTTGTACGTGTCATCAGAGATAGGAAAGCTCTGCCTATTAGTGATGATCTCTCCCTCATACATCAGTTATGTTTTCGAGTCTGCCACTATGCTGACACACAGGCATTTGTAGCTCTGCCCTCTTTTGAAAAGAGGGCTGGGAGCACAATCTCATTTTAATTTAAAGCGTCAGTCACCAAAGCGGAAACAATTTGGATTAAAACCTAAAAGGGGCAGCTTCAGAGAGTTATAAAAACAATAATTGTGTTGTATTTTGAGCTGAAACGTCACAGGGACATTGACTTACTTTACATATTGTCTCAAAGTCTCATAATAGGTCCCCTTGAAAATTATATTTGGCCAAACTTAAAGATGGAAGTTATATAAAACTCATATACTATATTCCAATATATTTCCAGTATATATATTTTTTCCATATGGGACACTAAAATATTATTTTTATGTCAATAGATCACAAGAAGAACAACTTCTAATCTGACGCAGTGCATTATGAAGCACCATGTTTGAATGCACTAATCCTAACACTGTATGGCATAGTACAGTATGTAGTAAGATTAGTATCCTCCCAGCATGGGCAGCTATTTAGAAAAATTCATTCACACTCCCCCACCTCTAACCTTCTGTCCTCTCACTCAGACAGGCCTTCTGGAGATCTGGCAGAGCAGCAGGAGTGAGCAGTTTCCCCTTCACTGCACTGTAAATGATGCTAACACCGTAGGCTAGATGCTGCTGAGCCTCCATCTATATAGATCGTTTCACAACCAACAACAGGATATTTATACATTTGCATAACCAAGATTAATAAACTGGTCAAAGATAAATTATTATATTAAATGTATAAAAATTATTTTATGCATACAAGCCAAAATTATAAGACACACATATTTCCCAAGTGATGTTTATTGGACCAAGGACATTTTCACAGTATTTTCTATAATGTTTTATCTTTTGGAGATCGAAAGTCTTAATTCTTTTAGTTTGGCAGGATTAAAAGCTGATTTTATTTGATGTTTACCTATTTAAGGAGAATATTATCAACCCCTTAGGATTTTTTTATTATCTACAGATCAAATCACTGTTGTCCAATAACTTTCCTAATTATCCTTATCCTTGCCCAGTTGACATAAGCTGAATATTATATTGCAAAATAGCTAGAAAAATAGAATATACTGTCACCATGGCAAAAAAAAAAATAATAAAATAATAATAATTTTAAGATATTAGTTATTAAACAAAAAAAAAACATAAAAAATCACGACATCAAATAAAATTGGAAAATGTTTTTAAAAATAATTCAAATGTCCCAGGAGGGCTGATAATTTTGTTTTCAACTGTACATAGCATATTAAATGCAAGCATACTATATGCAAGTGCCTTATTTTAAAAAACGCTTTTGCGAAAATATTTTTTTTATTCTTATTCATCATAGTTTAAATGACGTTTTTGTCCTCTGTTTACATCCTCCACATTTCTTTTTATTTCATAATCTACCATACTGTAGATGAAGTAGTATGTTGTAATGTTGTAATAATGATGCAAATCTATAACTTAAACGTAAATTAGATTATCTTAATACTTTGGACTTTGGGGGAAACCTCAGCACCAGGAGGAAACCCACGGGGGAGAACTTGCAAACTCCACAGAGAAGTGCCAACTGACCCAGCCGAGGCTCAAACCAGCAACCTTCTTGCTGTGAGGTGAAAGTGCTAACCTGAACCACCATGCCACCCCATTTATTATTATTATTATTATTTTACCTTAGTTCGCTAGAGTATTTTTTACATTTATTATTATTTATTTAAATTTTTTTAGACAAGATGATATTATAGTTTGTATCTGTACAGTGCATGTTCTCAGGCATGTTTACAAGTTCACAGCATCACTGACTGTAACGCCGGGAAGTGACACATACAACTGTGGTAAGATCCAATATGCAGGTTTATTCGTCGTCAGGCAAGCAATGGTCAATACAGGTACAAACGGGTATGTGTAGGCAGTCCTGAATTGTAATCAGTAACAGGCGAGAGTTCAAAAGGCAGGCGGCAGACAAAGATGCTAACAAGGTTACGGTCGGTACACAGGATAACAAGACTGGGCAACGCGTTGTAGTGCTACTGACAGTAAACAAGACTTGGCAAAGTGAATAGGTGAGTGTGCGGCTTAAGTATGTGCAATCAGTCTCTGACAATCCTCAGGTGGTGCAGGTAATCAGTCTAGAGGAGAAAGCATGTGTGAGTGTGACCGGAGTGCATGTATGAATATGTAGTCCAGAAATGGCGGATTTGTAGTCCATGGTTATTGTTAGTGCAAACCAGCGATCTTATGGGATATGATCGCTGGTAATCGTGACACTGACACTGTTCTCCAGAGCAGCTGCAGAACAAGGTCAAATTGTCCAAGAAAAAAGGCTGTCTTGTGTAAAGCTGATTCCTTTAAGCCAACCAGCCTGTTTTGTCTAGTCTGACACAAGCTGTACTGAACCTGCTCTGGACAGTGATGGACCTGACATACGCGTACATTACTGTGTTATATACTGTACTTCTGTAAGGTGGATAGTTTACTAGTTGAGGAAAAAGTGACATGGGACACAGATTTGGAGCAAGTAAATTGGCCATAAATAAAAAAATGAATAAAAGAATGAATGAATAAATGGATGAATGAATGAATGAATAAACAAACAAACAAACAAACAAACAAACAAACAATGAATTAATGAATTAATGAATTAATTAATGAATTAATTAATTCATGAACAACTGATTCCCCAGGACTGGGTTGCAGCTGGAAGGGCATCCGCTGTGTAAAACATATGCTGGATAAGTTGGTGATTCATTCCGCTGTGGCGACCGAGGATTAATAAAGGGACTAAGCCGAAAAGAAAATGAAGGAGTGAATGAATGAATGAATGAACATTTGAACAATTGAATGAATGAATTATATTAAAGAGGCAATGCATAAATTATAGCCAATAAAACTAACAAAGTTAAAATTAAATTAATAGTCAGAAATATAAATAAATAGACAGATAGAAAGACAGACAGACAGATAGATGTGTGTGGCTACTTAGATGATCTACATTTATTTTGTTTTAAATTTTTGCTTTGTGGTGTTTTATTTTTATTTTTATTTGTCTTTATTTGTCTCTGAACAGTTAAATAGCTTTTTCTGATTTTTCAGCAGTGACAGATTTTGAGATCCATCTTTTCACAACTTTTTACAATTAAGTGGCTCTAAAAGATTCATTGAAAAAAGGACAATTTAAATGCTCACTGATTCTTCAAAAGGGAAGAAAAAAAACTTAAGCAGGGGAAAGATGATTTTGATGAAATGTCAATAAAGAAAGAAAGAAAGAAATATATTTTTATAGTACGAGTTAAAGGCTTAAACTGGATATAATTAAAGATTCTAACACCTAAAATTACACACCTCAGCTTTAAGATTTCTGTTCCAAAGATGCCAATATTATTCAGACTACCACTAGAGGGCAGCGTGTGCCTGCATTATCCTAAAGTGTTCTCTAAATTCCAATTCAATAATCAAGAAAAATAAAATTTCTACAATAAATAATGATAATAATAATCATAAAAACATCTTTAATTATCCTCTTGGGGATAAAAATATATATTATCCTTACCCTGAGTTTAAGAGTTGACATTTGCTGCTAAAAATACAAATGGTTACAATTAAATTAAGCAGGTAATCAAAATCCTGAGTTAGATTTGTTCATTCGCTTTGTCACTCATTCTGTGCTGCAACTATTTATAAGTTTTGTAATGTTTAATGTGCTTCACAATAAAATTAATAGCTCTTTTTTTAATGAGTGTACAGTAAAAAACACTGGATCTCAGATTAATTAATCTTAGATCTCTCTCTCAAACAAAACTATCAATTTGAAGCTCACAGAATGGCTATTGAAGGGGAAAAGAGATAGAGATTTTGTCATTTTTTATGGTCTTGGTTTAATCCAGGATTATGAAATGTAAATTGTATGAACTTAGAGAATAAGCTTGAATTTAAATTTAAATGGTGTGTAAAAAAGCTTTATGTACGGTATGTGAAGAGCACACGCTATTATTCGATCGTTGATGTCTGGTGAATGTATAGTTTTTTAACATTTTGTAATTTTTGATATTGTATTATTATTGAAGAGTCAAGTCTTAGTTTTAAAGTCTCTCTCTCTCTCTC